CCCCAGCAGAGGTCTAGAGAGCTCCAGGCTGCCCCTGTTCCTCTGCCCATCTCCACTCCTGGTGGAGGAGGCCAGCAGCCAGCCACTAGCCAGTTAGCTAACTGGGAGGATGAGCTAACTGGCCTCTTCTAGTCAGCTAAGGGCAGGGGCAGGATCATGCAACCTTCCCCTCTATCTTGGGCTCCCTCCCCAGATTTCTGACTCAGCAAGCAAGAAGGGTTGGCATGATGGCCTTTATCCTGGACACATCTCTAGAGCACATTCTGTGCACCTGGCTCTTTGCTTTATAAGGAAGCCTGCAAGTCCCACATCTGACTCCTAGGGGGCTATAGGAGAGAGCAGAGATGAGGAAAATTCACTCAGCTCACCAAGGCAAAGTGCAGAGGGAGTGATGCTTGGGTGAGCAGAAGGCTTGGGGCTGTTCGCAACTTGAGGCCTGGGGGACGGAGGGTGAAGTGGAAGAGGCAGGAGGGATTCTGTGTGGACAGGGAAAGGTAAAGTGTGCAGGGGCTGGCCAGGTGCTGCCAGAGAAGAGCCCAAAGAGGAAGACTGGGTTGGGGTGTCAAGCTGTCCTTAGTGTGGGACAGTGAAGTCCCCACAGGGGAGCTACTTCCTTGAGGCCAAAGCGGCAGCCTGGTTGGGAAGGGAGAGACAAGTTTTCACTCCTGCATTTGCTCCTCTTAGGGCAACCCTGGACCCCCTGGTCCCCCTGGTCCTTCTGGAAAAGATGGTCCCAAAGGTGCTCGAGGAGATGGTGGTCCCCCTGGCCGAGCTGGTGACCCTGGCCTCCAGGGTCCTGCAGGACCCCCTGGCGAGAAGGGAGAGCCCGGAGATGACGGTCCCTCTGTAAGTGCCCACCAGGCTTGTGCCGAGGTCCCTGGTGCACAGTCGTGAGGGCTCCTGAGCCGCACGCACAGGCGGGAGGTTGCAGGGGCTGTGTGGATGCGCAAGGGCACTGCAGCTCTGTCAGCCCTCCTCTCCTGGCCCTCCTCTCCTAGGGTGCTGATGGTCCTCCAGGCCCCCAGGGTCTGGCTGGTCAGAGAGGCATTGTTGGTCTGCCGGGACAGCGTGGTGAGAGAGGATTCCCGGGCCTGCCGGGCCCATCGGTGAGTGACGGGTGCTCCTCCCTCTAGCCCAGCTGGGCAGTGTCTGCTGCTGCAGGGCCCGGCCTTGGCAGGAGCCTTCCCGGCCCATGTCTCTCACCCACCCTGCACCCTCAGAACTGTCCCTTTACCAGTCCTGTCTCCTGAGAGGGGTTGTGGGGGCCCAGGGGGATGTCCAGGGTGTGCACTCACGGTCCTTGTGTCTGTCCCTGCAGGGTGAGCCTGGCAAGCAGGGCGCACCTGGCTCATCTGGAGACCGAGGTCCTCCTGGCCCTGTGGGGCCTCCTGGCCTGACGGGTCCTGCAGGTGAACCTGGACGAGAGGTGAGTGGGGAACCCCCTTGGGGTGATCCTGACCAGGGAGAGGGCCCGGTGTATCGGTGTCCCTGGCCAGCCAAGTCTCAGAGCCCCGGAGAAGGGGATGGCGGTGTGGGCTGATAGGCCCAAGATCCCAGTGCCATAGGCCGTGGAGGGGGGCAGCCCAGATACTGGCACACAGGGAAAAAACAGGGCAAAAGCCTGGAGAGGCAGCTTTGGCTCCAAAGTGCTAGTCGAACGGAAGAGAACAGGCCTGGGCTTCCGGGGAGAAGGAGAGGGTGAGGGGGCGGGCCAAGGAGCAGCTCTAATCGTGTTCTTGTTTCTCTCTGCCCAGGGGAGCCCTGGTGCTGACGGCCCCCCTGGCAGAGATGGCGCGGCGGGAGTCAAGGTGAGTCTCTCACGTCTCCGTGTGCACGGGGCCTAAAAGGTCAGCCAAGGCAGAGGTGGGCATTAACCTTGTCAGTCTACAAGGAGCTACTGTCCTCTTTTGGAATGTTCTGTTCTGAGCCTGAGCTCTGCGTCCTGACAGGGTGATCGCGGTGACACTGGTGCCGTGGGTGGTCCCGGAGCCCCTGGGCCTCCTGGCTCTCCCGGCCCCTCCGGCCCCACTGGCAAGCAAGGAGACAGAGGAGAAGCTGTGAGTAGCCTCGATTCAGTAGGAGCTGGTGCTGGGGCAGTGGCCGAGCGAGCAGGGGGCGCGGCCAGGATCGCCCTCCCCTGGGCAGTCCTCGGGTCCAGGGGCCTCGCAGTGCTCAGCCCAGTGGCAGGTGTGGAGGGCTGTCCACGTCCCTCACACTGCTTTTCCCACATGTCGCTCTCACTTTTTCCTCGCAGGGTGCACAGGGCCCCATGGGACCCGCAGGACCAGCTGGAGCCCGAGGAATCCCAGTGAGTATCAGAGTACCCCGTGCTGGGACCCCTGGAGGGACAGGCTTGGGACGAACAGAGGGCTCCTGCTGGCCCCTACCTGCTCTCTGATCCATGTCTGTCTTATTCCCAGGGCCCTCAAGGCCCCCGAGGTGACAAAGGAGAATCTGGAGAACCTGGAGAGAGGGGAGTGAAGGGTCACCGTGGCTTCACTGGCCTGCAGGGTCTACCTGGCCCTCCTGTGAGTGTCACTGCCTGAGGAGTGCTACTCAGCGCCTCATGCTGCTCAGAGCCCACCGGTGCTTTGTCTGCTGCCCAAGGGGTCACTGTCAGAAACCCCCTGGGCTGCCTCAGAGTGGAGACGGGGGAGGAGGAGGAGGAGGAAAGAGGACACGGAGGGACATGCAGCTGCTGCCCGCCTCCCCAGATAGACAGTTTTATGCGTTTGCCTGCGCTGATCTCTGCCCTTTGCTGCTTTCTTTCACAGGGTCCTTCTGGAGACCAAGGTGCTTCTGGTCCTGCTGGCCCCTCTGGCCCTAGAGTAAGTGAGGTGGAGTTGGGGGTGGGGTGAGCCCTCCCAGAGGGGTGGGAGCTCTGAAGCGGAGGGGACACTGCTGCCTCCCGGGTACTCAGAAGGTACCTGGAGAGAGGTAGGGCCGATTTTCCATGAGGAATACGAGGCCAGTTCTTCACGCCAGCCTCCATTGGCAGGATTTTACAGCCAGGAACTCAGAAGGGTGGGAGAACAATGAAGGGAGCTTGCTGGTCCTCGGCCAAACAGAGACCAATTCCAGGCACTGTGGCTCAGCGGCGTGCCTGTCCCCTTAGGGTGGCCACCTGACTGGCCACAGCTACTCCCAGCCTCCACTCCTTTCTTATTACTCCTTTTCTCTCCTGCTCTGTAGGGTCCCCCTGGCCCTGTCGGTCCCTCTGGCAAAGATGGTGCTAATGGAATCCCTGGCCCCATTGGGCCTCCTGGTCCCCGTGGACGCTCAGGCGAAACTGGCCCTGCTGTAAGTGTCCTGACTCTATCCCTGCTGGCTGAGGTGTCCCCAGAATCTCTCTGGTGCTTGGGACCTCTTTGGGAGCATGGGCCTGTAGCTCACGGTGATGGTGTACTTTATCCTGAGGTCTCCTCAGAGGTAGGGGCTGAGGAGGAACTGGGAGGTGCTATGGTTTTCTTGGTCCTTGCAAGGCCCTGGCACGGGACTGGGAAGAGGACACTAGTATACTCTAGCAGCCGGGGACAGACACAGGAGGGGCTCCTCCCCATGGCTCCTGTCTGACCTCTGTTTCCTGTTGCAGGGTCCTCCTGGGAATCCGGGCCCCCCTGGGCCCCCAGGTCCCCCTGGCCCTGGCATTGACATGTCTGCCTTTGCTGGCCTAGGCCAGAGAGAGAAGGGCCCCGACCCCCTGCAGTACATGCGGGCTGACCAGGCAGCCGGTACCCTGAGACAGCATGATGTGGAAGTGGATGCCACACTCAAGTCCCTCAACAACCAGATTGAGAGCATCCGTAGCCCCGAGGGCTCCCGCAAGAACCCTGCTCGCACCTGCCGGGACCTGAAACTCTGCCACCCAGAGTGGAAGAGTGGTGAGCCTGGAGGCCAGGATCCCCTGCCCTAGAGATGGCATGGCTACCTTCAGCAGCAAGGCGAAGATGCCACTTAGTGCAGGGCAGGAAGGTCCCAGCAGATGGCTGCTTCCCCATCTCACCTGTCCTGGCACAACAGAAGTGACTGGAGGGGCCCATCCCCTGGGGGGCACTCCTCATTCCCTTTTTGCCTGTGTTCTTCCAGATCTCCTTGGCCCTGTGTCCTTTGTCTCCCCTCCCTTTAGGCCATCTGCAGGCCTCCCCTTTCTGCACCCTGGTCTCCCTGTAGGCCCTCTGTCTCCCAGTCAGCCTGACCCTTGTAGGACTTTGAGCCTGATGGGGTACTGCCTCTTTCTGTGCAGGAGACTACTGGATTGACCCCAACCAGGGGTGCACCTTGGATGCCATGAAGGTCTTCTGTAACATGGACACAGGAGAAACCTGCGTCTACCCCAACCCAGCCAATGTGCCCAAGAAGAACTGGTGGAGCAGCAAGAGCAAGGAGAAGAAGCACGTCTGGTTTGGAGAAACCATCAATGGTGGCTTCCATGTGAGTATCTGGGTGCTTCAGGCCCAAGTTGGCTTCTCTGTCTTTGTTTTTTCTCTCCATGGGTGTTTTTAGCATCTCCCCCAATTCTCCACCAGCTTTCTTTTGGTCTTGAGAGGAGGGAAAGAGGAGGAAGAGTGTTGTTCCTCACTTAGAGGTGAAAAAGAGGCCCTCTGAGTTTGTTCTGCTCCTTGGAAGCAAAATACCCATTCCCTGCTGCCTAAGCAGCCCACAACTCCTGAGCCCCGAACTGTGGGCACCCCTGCAGCCTTGGACCCAGTGAATGCTGTGCCAGGCCTCACGCCTGCCTCTCTACCCCCACAGTTCAGCTATGGAGATGACAACCTGGCTCCCAACACTGCCAACATCCAGATGACCTTCCTACGCCTGCTGTCCACGGAGGGCTTCCAGAACATCACCTACCACTGCAGGAACAGCATTGCCTACTTGGATGAAGTAGCTGGCAGCCTCAAGAAGGCCCTGCTCCTCCAGGGCTCTAACGATGTGGAGATACGGGCTGAGGGCAATAGCAGGTTCACGTATACTGTCCTGAAGGATGGCTGCACGGTGAGTGGGGCACCAGAGAGGAGAACTGCCCAGGGTGGGGTGCGTTGGAACAGGGCTGAAGGCCAGCCTGCAGCAGGTGTCCTGCCCTAAAGTGACAGGTGAGGGAGAGGTACATGTCGTTCAGTCAGCTTGTCAACTCCCTGGCTTAGAGCAAACAAGGCCCTGCCTGGTCCTCAGTGACTCTTGTAGATGAGTAACTTGTGATGTAATATGAATGCGCACACCTATTCGATATTCAACACATTGAAGAAGGGGTCACGGACGAGGAGCCCACTGTGAGGGTGGACAGTGTGGGAGACAGGTTGGTGGAGGAGGGCTCTGCTGAGAATAGCTGAAGAGGAGAGGGCTCGGGCAAGTCAAGAAGAGGTCTGGGCTGCTCACTAAATGGGGCTGACGCTTTGTGGTTGCTCACTGTTGGGGTCCTGGGAAGCTGGCACTAGACTTCAAGGCATCTACTGAATAGCATCTCCTCTCTTTCTCCCTAGAAACACACCGGTAAGTGGGGCAAGACTGTCATTGAGTACCGGTCACAGAAGACCTCACGCCTCCCCATCATTGACATTGCCCCTATGGACATAGGAGGGCCAGAGCAGGAATTTGGCGTGGAGATAGGGCCTGTCTGCTTCTTGTAAAAATCTGAACCCAGAAACAACACAATCAATTACAAACCCGAAGGACCCAAGTACTTTCCAATCCCAGTCACTCTAGGATTCCGCACTGAATGGCTGACCTGACCTGATGTCCATTCATCCCACCCTGTCACAGTTTGGACTGTGCTTCTAAGAGACCTGAACTGGGCAGACTGCAAAATAAAATCTTGGTATTCTATTTATTTATTGTCTTCCTGTAAGACCTTTGGGTCAAGGCAGAGGCAGGAAATTAACTGGTATGAGTCAAATGTCCCCTGAGTGACTGCCCCCAGCCCCGGCAAGAAGACCTCCTCCAGATGCTGGGCGCAGGGACTGTGTGCTCTACACAATGGTGCTATTCTGTGTCAAACACCTCTGTATTTTTTAAAACATCAATTGATATTAAAAACAAAAAAATTATTGGAAAGTACACATTGATTTGTGTTTTGTTCTTGAGTTTCTTCTCCTTTAGTCCTTGATTTTGTAGGATTACTCAAATGTGGTCCTAGGACCTTCTTCTGGTGACTTTTCAATCAAGAGGAAGGACACTAAAGTCACATGGCTTGGTTTAGTGACCTCACACGCACCCAGACTTAGCTCTTCTGTAACCCGTGACCATGCATGGAACCCAGTGGTGAACTGGGGCCAGAAACCAAGTGTATTCTTAGCCAGCTTCACGTTGCTACAATGAAGTAGAGAAGGCTTACTTTGGCTCACAGTTCTGGAGGTTTAAGGCCAAGGTCAGGCAGCCCTCAGGCTGCCATTATGGCGGGATTACCTAGGGGGAATATTCTCACGTCATGCTCCAGGAAGCAGGGAATGGCAGGAGACCAGGATCCCACAGGGGCCCACACTGTCCTCTGAGAGGATGGGCCCAGTGATCTCCCTCAAGGCCCCACCTGTCAACGTTCTCACCACCTCCTAACAGCATCACCCTCGGACCGACTGACCTTTTAATGGGTCACCTTTGAGGGGCACGCTCCATATTCAAACCATAGTACTAGGATTTGGGAAGGGAGGCATACTTGAGGGATGGCCTTGCTGTGGGGAGTAAACACTGATCTCAGCTCTACAGCAGAATAGTGCAAGAGGCAGGATGCCCTGTAGGGGTGGGCGTGAGACCAGGTGTGGGCTAGATCCTGCTGGGTGGGAAACATGGAGAGGAAAGGTGAGGGGGAAGGAGGGGGCAGGAGGGCGATTCCTCCAGGAACCATGAGAAGTGTGCATAAGCAATCCGGGGGATCATTTGCATCTTCCTATATGTCTTTCAGGTCAAGGAGAGGAGGAAAAGTTAAACCCTGCCCCTCCTACCCTCTCATTCCTCTTTCCCACGCCTTCACTTCCTGGCTCTGCATTTAAACCTTCCACAGACCTCCTCTGAACCCTGGACTTCCAAACGAACTGAATTCCTTTTCCTTACCATCAGTTGTGCCTTCCAATGCTTTGGGTACATGTGGCAGAAATGAGCAAGTTGTCCCTTTTTCCTTGAGAGGGCCATGGTGGTAGTGACATGTGGAATAGATGGGAGTCTGGAAAGCAATCAGAATCACGACAGCAGGATTTCATAACACAGATCCCCAAAGATGCCTGACCCTGCTGAGGAACCAGAGAGCCGTGCTTTCTTTGCCCCTTCCTCCCATCCCTGCCTCTCTAGATTAAGGTTGAGAATTTCTGTATTAAAGAAATAAAAATAAATAAAACACACTTTTGTCGGATTTGTTTGCATTAAAACTCAACTCATGTAAACTCAGTTGAATGAAGTGTATCTTACCAGGACTAACTCTTGGCAAAAGAAAGGAGTGAAATGTACAACAATTAAAAACAAAGACTAACTAGCTCATAATTAAAAACAAACAAGGCCTCCATCTCCCGAGAGCACTAATGAGGGTAAGGGAAGATCAGGTGAGGGATGTAGATGCTTAGAGACCCTTGCCCTGGACACCACGTGGAGCTGTAGATGAGCTGATTCCAACCCCCCCACCCCCACCCCTGCACCGGCCCGTTCTGCTGCCTTGCTTACCCTTCCCACTTGGAATAAACTAGTTCAGTAGATTGTGGCCATGCTCTTAGATCTCTGAAAGAGAAATCCATGCGGATCCAGGGGATTCCTGGCAGCCCACCCTCTTCGGGCACCTAGTAAAACCTGGAAATAGTAGCAACTGCTCCACAGGGAGTGGTGGAGACAAGGAGCAGGAGGAGCTCAAGGGGATTGGGCTGGGGGTGGAACAGGAAGCCCTGTGTCTGCCTGCATCTGCAGTCAGGGCCAAATGCACTGGTCTGGCCGGCTCGCAGCACTGTGCTTCCCACTCCTGCTGCTCCCTTGTCCAGCCCAGCCTGAACACCAGGATCGCTGCTGATTCCCCCATCCCTGAGGCCCCGGGAAGGTCTCTCCGGCCACAGTACCTGTCAGACAAATTCCCGACTGAGCAGATGGCACAGACAGAGCCAGCTCACTGACAGGGAGGGCTTGGTCGGGTCAATTTTCCTATCTTGAGCTTCCTGCCCTCTATGAAAGTGGCACCAGAAGGCTTTGGATTGGGATCCAGCAGCCTGAGCACAAGCTAAGAATTATTCTCAAGCCCCTTGGGTCCTGAGTAACTCAAGCAACAACTTCTGACACAGTGTTCCTTTTGGTTTGTTTGTTTGTTTGAGGTGCTGGGGGTTGAACGCACTGAGCTACATCCCTAGCCCTTTAAAAACTTTTGTTTGGAAACACGGTCTCACTAAGTTGCCTAAGCTAGGCTTTAACTTGTGATCCTCCTGCCTCAGCCTCCTAGAGTGCTGGGATTGCAGGTGTGTACCACCACACCTGACCTAGTGTTTCTTTCTAAATGAGTTAAGAAACACAAAATCTTAGAGGAGCGCTGACAAAGTAATGAAGACTTTTACTTATAAGGGAAAAAAATTATTTTGCCTAATAACAAAAACATCTGGGACGCAAACTGATTCATGAAAAGCTTTTAACAAATCGCTCAATAATAGTTTAATAATTTGTTCCATACTTTGGGCTAGAATCCCTGGGGTAGTTAACCCAGGGATCTTAAGAGTCCTGCTATGGGGCAACCAGGGCTGCAGAATAGCTGGTGGAAGTAAACTACAGCTTATACGTGGCCTGGCCAGCCTAAAACCTTGCAGCAGAGTTACAAACTTCTAGCTAAGTCTCTGCACAAAAGACATCAGGAATTGCAATCTCTGGCACATGGCGGATGCTCAGTAAATACATGGAATGTGTAAGCATAGAGATGGAGATTTCTGTATGCTGCAAGTCTCTGGCCAGGTGAGCCAGTATAAATAGTTTAAGATAAAAAAAGAGGTAACACTGCAGGCCAAGCTTTCATGACAGAGAGGCTATCAACAGCAGGGCCTCACCTCCAAGAAACACTGCAAACAAATTTTTTTTTTTTTTTTTTGAGACAAGGTCTCATTATGTAGTTCAAGCTGGGCTCGAATTCACTATGTAGGCCAGGCTGGTCTTCACCTCACAGTGATCTCTTGCCTCTGCCTCCTGAGTTCTGGGATTATAGGTGTGCTCCACCACACCTGGCCACTCTGTAAATTTCGATCCACTGGAAACACATAGGTGACAGTAGTGACACCTGAGTCAACCACTTCCCCCTTCTAACTTGGGGTTGCTGAAAGTAAATTCTGGATATTTAAGAATTGGCAGCTACCATGAGAAAACTATGCAGAGCATCCCAAAGTGGACTGTAGGATACTAAGAATATACATAGATATGAGAAGTTGGTAATATTGAGATCATACTTACACATTTAAAATTCAATCGCCGTCATGTAAATATTAACCAGATTTTAAGGAAATATCAGCAGTATTACTAAAGCACAAGGTCACAAAAGTTATTAAAAACTGCAGTATCAATATGAGCTTTTTGAAAATTACACAGAAAATATGGTACAGATACCACTTGGGATATGGGAAAACTAGAGAGAGACTATAGCGGACTATATAAGACTCTTTACACGTTCAGGGCATGTTCTTGCTCCTGTGCAACTGCTGGCCATTCTGCATCAACAGTGACTACTGCCACACTCCTGTGCACACGCATCACAGGGCTTAGTCAGCACTGCACCCCCGTGCTCAACCCTTTGCTCTTGTGTCACTTGGTAATGCCGTCAGCCAAACAGGAAATTTAGTTTGAAGATTCAGTGTAAAGACCATTAAGAAAATACTGAAAATCAAACTAAGAAAGGGAGAAGAAACCTCACATACAACTGGTCACCAGCTGCTGCTCTGTTAGCCTCTCCTGAGACCTCCGTGTTGGGAGGGATGGCGCTTACCTTGGCTGAGCTCTGGACCTGACCACTGAAGATTCCCACCACAGTCTCTGCCACCGTGCAACCACGGCCACCCTTTAGTGGCCAAACAGGTGGAGGCAGTCAAAGAAATTTCCAAACTTAAGCCACAGTCCTTTTATTCAGGATGGAAGCCAAGCTGGGAAGCAGTGCTCCCTCTCCAGGCACCTTTGCCCTGCCATTCCCAACCTCCAGGGGGCACCATGTGCTCTGTTCTAGAAGAGCAAGAGGTCAGCCAAGTGCCTGGACAGGCGGGCAGAAAGTGGGACAGTTTGCTGTTATAAGTGCTCACAGGGACAGAGACCAGTTAGGGGTCCTCCTCTTTCCTTCCCATAGTGCATCCTGTGTTGACCCACTTGGCAGGCAACTATTCTATGGTTACCCCAGACAATCAAAGGAGACACAGATAAATCAAAAGCAGGATTTATTTTTCTATCAAATACCCAATCCATGTTCCAGCCATTGGATGAAGGGTAAATCAAGGCTCACAAAGACTCTTGGTAGAAACAACTGTAACTTTCTACACAACACGCCCCCCCCAATCCTGGTCTCCTAGACATCTGGGAACAGATGAAACAAATGCTTATCAAATGGGTCTGTGCTGTCTTCTTTCAGGGGTTTGAGGGGTCCCTCTCTGCTGCCTCTTCTGTGCCCATAAGGCACCAATAGACCTGCAGCTGCACTAACAGTCCTATCTGCACATTACTCTAGGGCTCGATAACTTAGACCCATGATATGGTTTCAGCTTATCATGCCTGAAGAACAGTTGAGGAGATCTGAATTAAATCCTTCAAACCTTTATCAAGCACTGACTATTTGCTGGGCATAGCCTAGGCACTGGGCAGTGATTCTGCTGGCTCTAGGAAACACACACGGTGCTGTAGAGACTTTTCCCCTAAGTGGCAGGAAGATGTTTGTTGGGAGTTAACAGAGCCAATTCCTCCCCTGGTTCAACCACCTGGGGTCAGTGATGAACTCTGGCCCTGGGAAAAGATGCTGGGCTCTCTTCTACAGGTGCTGGCATGGAGACCCAAGAGCACGTGCTAAACAGCTGTGGAATTTGCTCCACAATCCACATAGTCATGTGTCTCCAAGGAGCTCTGGGTCATGAGGCCGATGTATGAAATCTTCACTGAAGTTCTACGGAAAGGAAAACCAAGAAGAGATGAAATAAGCAAGAAAAACTGCCCAATTTCTTGCAAGTTCAGGCAACAATACCTGTGGGCCACAGGCACAAATCTTGACAGTTATATAACCAGGACGTCAGACGATCTTCCCATGACCAAAGAGCTGTGTCATGAGGGGACCTTATAAAGAAGCTGTTATTAATCAGGGATGATTTTACTTCACAGGGACTTTGGCGTGGTCTACAGACATTCTGGGTTTTTACAGATGAGGGGTGTGTGTGTGTTAGCAGCACCTGGCAGGTGGAGACCAGGGATACTGTTAAAAAATCCTACACTCCCCAGGAAGGCCCCCTACAACAGAACTCTCTGGTCCAAAATGTCTACTGTGCTGAAGCGAAGGAACCTTGCTCCAATCTTCATACTTCATGTCTGTAGCACAGCCTGTTGCCTACAAACGGAACACTCACGGCCCAACATAACCCTAAAGGTCCATGACGTGTGGTGACCCAGGTGGCTAGCGAGTCAGTCTGCTCACACGTCTGTGCTTAGGCCGTGAGAAAGCTTTTCTGTTCTTCACTGGTCTCATTAGGGTTCCAAAGGGATGGCCCATGTTTAATCAAACTAGACCCCATTTCATGGAGAGAAGGACAGGTTCCACTGTTCACGGTGAGTCACTGTTCACTGTGGCTTTTGCAGGGGACCTGGCCGCCACATCAAGAGAACTCTGAGGGTGTCCTGCGTCTGCTGTGGGAATGGGGGCCGCTCTTTGGCTACACCCCTCTGACAAAGGTGTAAAAGCTCACAGGGCCTGATGGTCAAGGCTCAAACACAAAGGCCATCAAGAGAGGGAATCAAGTGACGTACCGCATGAAGATCACCATGTTGTGCACCAGGATACCAGGTACTGTGCAGAAGAAGCTACCGAAGAGCAAATACGGAAATGGTCAGTTTGCTATAAAACGAAACAAAAAAAGAGAAGAACCAGTAGCGGAAACAGTAGAGGGGTGCTGAGGCACACTGTCAAATTATTTGGGGTGCCTTCTCGCCCCCACGCCCACCTTTCCAACCTAGGTGCCCACACCCCCCAATTCTGAGCCACCTTCCACACTGACACCCTCTTCTGTCTTGACGAGCCCATCACAGAAACACTGCAACTTGGTGATGTTTCTAGGGCCTTAATGTCCTCTTAGGAATCCAAGCACTTTAGTCACGTATCAAATGACATCTTTTTCAAACAAACATAAAGACGTTCAAAGCTAAGGAGCCCACAGGCCAAGGCTGGGACTTCAGGCGGGGCCAAGCTCCAGTCCACTGAGTATCACTCTGAATCTGTTTCTGGTAGAAAGCGCATATACATAGAACACTGTGCTTACTAGACATAGGAAAATGGTCCTCCCATCTCGGCCTTCACAGTAAAATTCACCTGCAAAGACACCAAGTCAACCAGGGAAGACTGGCACAGAATAGCACTCTTCTCAGCAACCCATAGTCCCTAGGCCATCCCTCCATCACATACAAAACATGTCCCCAAGACTGTCCTTGATACAGTCTATGAGCCTCTAAAAAATGCTTCCCACCTCTTCCCTTTCAAGGCCAGTGGACCTCAACCATAATACTGCCTCTTTCGGATTTGTGGAAAGTCTCTTTCTCTTACAAATTTTTTTGCTCCAAATACTTAAATACTAGAGCTATTTTTCCCCCTTCTCTATAACTGTTCATAATCACAATATCCACCAGGTCTTCATCATCAACCAGTGTCTCTAGGTGCAAAAGAGGAGGCACAGGAAAGGAACCTAGCTACAGAGTTCCCACAGCACCCATTCTCCTACACTACCGAGACTGGAAGAACAGCATACCAGCTGCTCACTCCGTGGTGGGATGAGGGAGACATTCCTGGTCACATATGTGCCAACCACTGTGTTCATGTACTGAACCTGGCTGGACAGGCTGGTCACTGCCACAGGGTAGAAGTTGGAATTCCTGATTTTCAGGGTGGCCTGCATCAGGGGAAGGAAACAAGAAGTCTGAGTGTGCTGGGTCCAAGAATGGCAGGTACACAATGATGGAAGCGAGGCACCAGGTCTTACCGTGATGGCGAGGATTACGAGGGAGTCCTGTTTATTAAATGTGACTTTCACCACTTTGATGCCATCATCGTCCACGAGGACTGAATGTGGGAACAGGAAGAAAACCACCAAACCGGATGCCAGGAGGCATAGCAGGACCGACAGAAGAACATACTGTTTACTGGAAATGATTCAGCACATAACAAATGAGGCAGTTGGATATCAACATTCAGATTAATCAAGATTACATGCAAAGCTGGACCAAGGGGAAAGTGAAAGTACAAAGAACCAGGATACCAGGCAAGAAGGACTTAAGTGGGAGAAGCCTTTCTCAGCCCATCTGGACACCGTTTGCACGCTGTGCATAGAAGCTACACCTACCACCCCAATCCCTTCAGTCCCATGCCTTACTTGGCCCTCAGAACACACATAGCTTCAATTTTCTTTCCCAGATTCTGATGCGGAGCAGAAAGATCCCTTGGGCAAATTGTAACCAAGGAAATGTGTTTACAAGAACAGATATAGTTTTTTGTTTGTTTGTTTTTTCATACCGGGGATCAAACTCGGTTTCTTGCGCTTGCGCAGCAGGCAGCGAAACCACTGAACTAAATCCCCGGCCCAAGAACAGATATAGTTTTAATAGAATTAACTGGCATTCATCCATATTAAAAATGAGGGACAGGGACAGGTATTAACAAGTGAGGAGCAGGTAACTCACGTTCTCTGAGGACGCAATCTCTGATCACTGTGTGGGATCAAAGCCACCAATTCATTGACTTGCTCTAGAAAAGAACCAAACATTCATTTAGTGAAGCCTGAGTACTGGCAGTCCTTCTCTTTGCATCTCATTGCAGCCTGCCATTGCAAATATCCCTCTGTGATTAGGCATTTTCAAAAATACTAGTTTCACATTACAAGTCTAGTGAAAAAGAAACATGTAAATCTATACAGAGTGCCGCAAGTTACAAAACATCCATTACTGGCGCCAGGGCAGTGCCACAGAAGTTGAGAAATCTGGGATCTTCTTCTGGCTTTACAGCGTGGCTTTGGCAGTCATCAAACCTCTCAAAAGCACTTCTCCCTCACCTTTAATATGAAAGTTTGCAGAAAGTGGTGCCTAAGGTTTTTGCCAGCACTAAACTTCCTGACTCTCCATCTATACTACTGAGACTTTCAGAAAGCAAGTTGAGTTAATAGACAATCCCGTACCTAATCCAGGCTCCACTCCTGAGCATTTGCCCTTTCTCCCCACCTGATGGAATCTGCAAACTTCAGGTTAATAATTCATTCTCTTTCTTGTAATGAAGCATCCGAGACAGTCCCCCTACAAAGCTGTGCCAGTCTATGAGCAAGAGCAATAAAGAAACACACCTGTCAACAAATTCCACAATGTAAAGCAAAATGAAAACTCCAAAGCACAGGAAGAAGAAAAATGAAGAGTGAAAGTAAAGAAAAGAAAGGGTATCAAATATAAGGAGACCAAGAAAAGTTGTGGAATCTGCCCAAGTTGATCAAGTTACCAGAGCTGGCTCCAATTCCGTCAATAATAATAAAGACACTGGTGCCTGGAAGAAAGCTATTGGACAGACACAAACACCTCTGTGGGGACCTTGAAAGTTTTGTGGGGAAACCATCTCTTCCCTGATCAGATTCTCACCTGTTGGGATGTAGCCTGTCCCTTGGCAGGTGAGACAGGTAATGCTATCTCTCCCCGTGAACTCCACATATGGAAACTGGGCGATGGCTTCTTCCTGCTCAGGATCAGCCAGGAAATCTTCCCTGTCATCTTTCTTTCGCTCGAAGGAGGCAGGGCGAAAAGAGGCAGAATGTTGAGACCCCATGGCCCCGATGTCCGACTTGTGTCATGTCCTAGGTGGAAAGAAGTGAGTGCGCATCACTGTCCACACTTGGCCACGACAGAAGAAATCGCTTGTTTCTACCAGAAAAGCGAAAACACAAAAATGACAAATTGCTGCCCCGAGTGTGGGTTCCAACACCTGCACAATTTCTATCGGGACCCTCTTTTTGTAGCTGTGCTACAAACAGCAGGGCGAACTGGGCCTGCCTTCTGCTAACCTGCCCAGCTCCTTCACCGCCCTGGAACGCGGGGTTCCCCAGGTCCCACCTGGTCTGGCCTCACCCCTTCTTCCCCACTATTTACAAATTCTGTGCTCTCCTCTAGAAAACCTTACCGGACAAACAAGCAACAAATTAATAACAGGCTTTAGCGATCCCCATCCCCCTCCACTCCCAGCCCCGGGAGGCGGGTTCAGGTCACGCCCCCATGCCAAAACCGATCTTCCGAGCTCCTCAAAGTCGCCCAGGAGGAGCGGGCCTCTGTGTCCCCGAACCTACAGGAAACAAAATCCCAGCACCTTCTCTCTGGGCCGCTCTTAAGGCCACCTGGCCTCTCCAGCTGGTTTAATACCTGCTTCAGGTCTTCCAAGCAGTCCGCAAGCGCAAGCGGTGCGCAAGCGCAGAGTGGCTTGGAAGACACTTGCGCTTGCGCTTGCGCCTGCGCTCTCGAAACAAGGCGTCCCTTCCGAGGCGCAGCTGCCGCGCTCCGTTGGCGCCAGTAGACGGCGGCAGAGAGCGGTTTGGCTGGCGAGGTTTCGCTGCTCCTTAGAAACGCTAGGAAGAGCATGACTGTTCCAGAGCAGGGTCTCTCTGCTGCCAAGGAAGACGACGCCGCCGGTGTGGTGGCCAAAGCCATTCTCATCCATTCTTACCGCTTAGGAGCTACGTAAACACGGAGGTGTGAAGAAGCCAAACACCCAGAACCTTACCTCGATCCCCTGGAGGATCCGGACGCTTCACATCCCACCTCCGTACTGTAGATGACAGTGCTGCTGGAGAGTCCCCGGCGGAGGGTCCTCTAGTTCACCGTGGGAGTCAGCCTGGTTCTTGAAGGAACGGACCCCAGAGCTAGGCTTTGCACGCCAGTGGTGCTAACCCTGCTTCAGCACCTCTGCTTGCCCGCCCTTCACAAAAAAGGCACGCACCGGCGGGGTTAGAGGGCGCTTTTTTACTGAAGGCAGCGTACTGCTGCCGGGTTGAGCTTAGCCTGCAGTAGGAATGAGGCAGACGTTAAGCAGGTGAAGTTATTTGGGGGAAAAGTGATCCTTTGAAATTGGCTGAATGAGGAACTCGCTTGGCAATGGAGAGTACGTCTGGCAAACTGAGATTCTGAGATGGGAATGAGGCGCCCCGTTCTGCACAACAGGTACTTTGATTCTGAGGCTGCAGGTTTCACTCAGGGACCAAACACAGATGACTCCACCCCTGTTCTGCCCTCTGCAGTGAGATCCAGTAGGGGCCCTTCTGCTCCCCTCATCCACCCTATGTAAGCAGCTCCCATGGGCAGGTCAGTATGTGCACTGTTTCTCCTCTGCTACAGTGAGTTCTAAAAAAGCCTCTTCTGGATGGCATATGAGTATTTTTGTCTATTCATGATTGTGGTTTCCAATAATACCAAGGGTCCCTGGCACTAACTGGCTAATGGCCAGGGCTGGTAACATTGAGGACAGCTGGCAGCCAGAGAGCAACAAACACCAATAACGAATAACTGGGAGCTTCTATCTCTAGCCAAAAGAGTTCCCAAGGCCTGCCAGCAGCTGCTAGCTCTGAACAGCAAGAAGGCCACTAACACTAAAAGAACTGATAGCTTCTGGCATTCAAAGCTCAGGGCTATTAACACTGAAAAAGCTACATTTTGCCAGTTCATGACTTCTGTATGAATTGAACAAAAACTCCTAGCCATTTGGTAACATCCTGGAAATATGTATAGGGACCCTCGCCTTTAGGGGGCCCAGAAGAAAATCTAAGTTGCACTTGTCAACAGATTCAAGATTAATTTGTGTTGGATTTCTATCTTACATGTGGCTAAGAATCTATGTTGGCTAGTGACAGTTTCTGCCACCTCTGTGCCCTCCGCATCCTCCTGCAGAGAATGCTGACACTCCTGCTGCAGCCTAGTGACCTGCCCAATTGCCAGCCACAGCCAGCCCACTGAGCCTTTAGTCAGAAGCAACCAGGAGCCACTGTTCCACCTCTGGCCTGCACATTCTTCCTGAAATACCAGTTCAATACCAGTTTATAGTCCTTATTTAAATAAACATGATGTTGTTGGGGCAAAGCAAATGCTCAACAGAAAATGTATTCCCAGCTTCTCTTGCAGATAGAGGTGACCATGAGAAGTTGCGTGGGACTTCTGGGAAAGCTGCTTTAAGAGATGGAGATTCAACTGGTCCTTTGACCATCCTCTTCCTCTTTGGAATTTGGATTTGACGTTGGAGTAGAGAGACCATCTTGTGGCCATGAGGTAGGAAATGCATGCTACAGAAGGCTGGATAGAAGAATAAAAGGAGTCCAGTCCCTGAGCATTTGGAGCCATGATCAGGTCCTGGGCTGCCTATCTTTTGAGTTCTCATTACATGAAAAAAATGACCCCCCCGAGATTGTAAAAGCCTATTTGTTTGGAGCCTGACAGGAATACAATCCTATCAAATACACAGAACTACTAGAGGGCTAAGACTGGATTTTTATTACAAGCCAATGGACTGCTTTAACCACATACCACATAAACGACACTTAGGGTTCAATCTTTTCCCACCTTCAGCCTTTGGGGCACTTCCCTTTTGAAAGTGGAAGACCCTGCTCAGCTGAGGTCTGGCTTCAAAGTTAGTTCTTCCTGCCTGGGAACTTGCCTCCTCCAGGTAATGCATCTAGAGAATGATCTCTGCTGAGAACCCTTCCTCTTACACAGTTATTACATCCCTTCGTGGCCTCTGCCATATACCATGCCAGGAATGGGATTCAGAAAGCCTCATGTCTGCCCTGCATGTGGACATGGTGGGCTGTCCAGCTTCCCCAGAGGCAGGGGACATGAGCCAGCCTGATCTGCCAACTGCAGAGGAGGAGGAACCCAGAAGAAGACTGGGCTGGGGGTGCTTTCAGAGGGGCTTGGAGTGTGGTGAGGAAGAGGCAGGGCATGGGGTTGATGGGGCACGAAAGGGCAGTCCTGGGCATCATCAGGAGAACCTTGAGTTCCTCTGACAGTCTGCTTCTGAAAGTGTGTCTGGGGGTGGCTTTTAGTGCTCCTTGTCTCATCAGCACCCAGCTTGCTGCCTGGTGTGCAGTAGGCCTTCAGTAGATGCTTGCAGAACCGTTCAGCCTGAAGGCTGGCCAGCACGGCCCAGGGCAGTAGTCCCAGCATCCACCAGAGCCATCTGTGAGGCAGGTTTAATTGGGCAGCACATTCCTGAGGAGACAGCCATCACTTCTCACCTGTACTTGGCTTCCAGGTTTGTCTCACCAACTCAGTTATGAGCAGCGGGGTTACTGCAGACATGAGCTCACTGGGGCGCCCCAGGTGGGCCAGGGCAGACTGGGGCCAAACAGGCATCCCAGCACTCCTGGCCCATCCTGTGCCTGGGCCACTTGGGTGAGTGCAGTGAGCCCTGAAGGGCTGCTGGTCCCCAAAGGCCCTGAGGAACCGGGGGGTCAGGACGAGCTGTGCTCACTACTGTGTCCCTTCCTCACTCACGCCCAGGGACAGAGCCAGGGCCTGCAGGAGGGTGTTTAGGATGGTATTAGGCTCCCTTTGTACTGCCAGAAGCTGAGGATTTGCACTTTGTGCTTTTCATTCTGCCCCCTTTATTTATTCCATGATGAGAAACTTGCTTGAGGTTAAATGACAGCCAATAAGAGAAAACACCAGGACCAGAACCAAGCCGGCCGTCTCCTTTTTCCCTGTCCTGTGCACAAAGGTTGACAATTTGGTGGCACATGGAGAGCCTGGCCTTAGCCTCTGCTGCAGCCTTTGTGGTACACAGGTAGATTTAAGGGGCACATGAAGCTTTTTATTTAATGGAGTCTGTTTATTCTTGTGTGAATTGGAGATCTCAGAGTCAAAGCTCTGGCCCAAGAGTTTTTAAAGCAAGGCAAAGCTCCTCTCTCTGTAGGTCCAGGCTCTTGTCACTAAGTCAGGTCCAGAGGGAAAGGGGGGAGAAGAGAGTCCCTCGCACTTCAGAACACAAAACCACGGTGCATCCTACCATTTACCTGGTGCTTCCTTTTAAGGTGAAGAAGCTGTTACACCCCCTTTGCTGTGAGGAGACAAGGAAGCTGATTTTTTTCCCCAGCTTTGATGGTCGAGGCCAAACTGGACTGTGAGTTTTCTGCCCTCAAGTTCTGGTTCTTTTTGCCTGATTGCACTGGTTCATATAGAGAATGGTCAGAGGCTGGCAGTTCACAGACCTTTTCTAGGAAGAGAGTACAGATGGTGCTTTACAGACAAATGGGTCCTAGATGGGGGTCCACCCCTGTGCAGAGAGGATACTACCCAGAGAGGTAGACACAGTGGGGGTCAGGGAGATTATGTTTCAGGAAATTGACAGTCACACACCTTGTAATCATGTAGTTGTGGTTGTGAATGTGGCCTAAATGCCACAGTCAACCAAGGGAGTCTGCAGAGCCAGGTTCTGCTCAGCTCCCGCTGGATAAGCTGCCTGTGGGGCTCGGAGAGGTCTCACCTGCACTGTGCTCACAGTGACCTGGCTCGAGGTGCACCTGTACAGCCCTGAGAGGGTCCAGTCTGCAATAGGAGGTGAGTTTTCTTTCACAACCCCACCTACGCAAAAGAGGCCCTATTTTTCTGTCTTTTTTTTTTTTTTTGGTACTGGGGATCGAACTCCAGTCCTTGTGCTTGCAGGGCAGGTGGAGGGACCACTGAGCTAAATCCCTGGCCCCCTGAGGCCCTATTTTTTGAAAATATCATAAACCAACCTATATCCAGTGTGGAGCCCCTTCCTGATTGGTGGGCAGCAAATTTAATCTTATTTATTGAGGTTGCTCTCCCTCCTCAGGGTCACCTGAGAGTTCTGGAAACTTGCTCTTTAGAGCCCAGGAGGCAGGGTAAGGAAGGACCTCTTGTGTTTAGCCCATGTCATGCTGAGCTCCTCCTTGTCCAGCACCCAAAGGCCTCTGCCAAGAATCTCTGCCCAGATGGGCCAAGCTGGGGTTTGGGCCTGGCTGGCTCACTGTGTCCTCTTCCCATCTCCTTCTATCACAGTGGTTGCATTCAGGTCCTTGGTATCTTTTGCTGAGCTAACTGCAGTAGCCTTGTTGGTCAGCTCTCTAACGTAATATTGCAGTTTACTGAGCATTAAGTACTAGGTACCATAGCAGGTGCTTCCTACACGTTACCTCATTTAATCTTCCCAACTCTAGGCTTTGTGTCATCACCTCTATTTGACAGATGGGTCATCTGTGGCTCAGAGAAGTGACATGGCTTGCCCAGCACCATGCAGCTGGAATATAAGTCCCAGAGCATCTCTGGCCACTTGCCTTCCTGGTCCTTCCTCCATGGTCCATGGGTCTGGTAGTCTATTCTAGCGGTCCTCTTCTAAAATGCAAATGTGCTCATCTCGTTGTTTGTTACAGCCGTTGGTGGTTCCAGAGCCCCAAGAGTG